TCCTGCGCATGTAAAAGAATTAAAGACATAGATGTACAGGTATATTTTAACATTATTTTCGAGAATAAGAATTTTAGACTAAAGAAATTGTTTAAAAAAATTTCAAGTTAATGAGAATGAAAAGATATTTCTCCCTTTCTAAAAGAGTTTTAATTATCTTGTCATTTAAATTTTACATAATTTAGATTTTTTAAATATATGTCTATCTGAGCGTTTATTTTTCAATTGAATCCTGTTTTTTTTTTTTTTTTTTTTTTTTTTTTTTTTTTTTGGTATCGCGTATTGGTTTACATTGCAGTTTTTATTGTAAATGCATGCAATATTTTTCTATCGGAGAAACATTGCATGCATTTACAATAGAACCTTCAGCTTCCGGTCAAATGATCCGCGAACATCCGGTCCCGGCTTGCGCGTACACAATGCCGGGCTCTCTTAAAAGCCGTGTGCAACACGCCTTGTGACAGTATCGTAACTAACCGGGGAGCATGTCCCCGGATCATACCAAGTTTATCTTCCGGTGACTAAACGGGGTTGGACAGAGGAGGAGGCATCGTTTGTAATTCGAAAACGCGCCCACGCATATACTCGCACACACAAATCTCTTATTCTTACAAATTTTTTATGAAAAGCTCTAACCTTGAAGAGGATTTAGAATATCACATAAATTACGATTTGTAAGCAAACGAAATATTAATCTTCTGAGAAAGAACAGACTTTCCATTTTTAGCTTATCAATTTTTGGATACTATTAGCTTTCAAAATTTTCCAAACTTTAGCACTATAAAAAATCTTTGATTTTAGTTGATAATAGTACGAAAATATAGTAATAAAGAAATTTTGCATGTTTATGGACTCATTTACAATGTTAATGAAGATGCTTCTTGTCTTCTACATAGATATTCAGTAAAAAAAGCAAAAAAAAAAGGAATTTCCGATGGCCAGGAGAAGAGAACCACGCCCCAACCATAAGAACGAGATGATACCATTTTGCAGCCCTCTGGGTGGCTTTCGCAGTATCCCTCGAGTCCTCCTTCGTCCCTCGACTGTGCGGATAATTAAAGATACAACGCCTAACTCGACGCACGCTACGATACGTAATATTAAACCTATCTCATACAATTTGTTTCTATTATTCTAAATAAATTGTACAAACTAAAATAATTAATAAATTTTCGAAAATAATCTGCTTTTCGAATATTTTATATGTATATAACATGCTAGTTAATTCAATTTTTTAAATTAAAAAGTGTTTTTTGATCATGTTTGCAATGAATTATATGTATTAAATATTACACATCATATATATGATTATATAATACATACATTTTATATATTAAATATTATATTAAAAATGGTTTCTGTTAAAAATCTTAATAAAAAAATATCTAATAATCATAATAAATGACGGAATAGTTTTTAAAACTGAATGGTGTAAATTGAACTTTACGAGAGATGAAAAAATGGAGAAAGAAAGGTTAGCACGCGCTAAATTGGCTTACGCCTGCAGAATCTTACCGCACCCTAGTATGTTTCTTGCGAATCTTCCACGCACGCCCTTGCTAAATTTTCGACCCTTCGCGACTTCCCTTTTTTAGTAATTCTGACCGAAAAAGGGTTGGAGAATACAGGAAGTTAAAGTAACCGATAATGATAGCCGCAATAATAATTTTTTAATTATCTTAAAATGTTTGTTATAAATATATTAATTTTTTTTTAAGAATTTTCTTTCAAGATTTTCTCTTTTATCATTTATAATGTATTTATATAAAATTAATATATTTATAAAAATAATAATATATAAATCAAACCTAGTGTTTCATATAAACACTGTTCACTTAAATGTGAAGTGTTGATAATTTGGCAAACAAATTATATATAATATTCCAAATGTAAATCTATTTGTTTAAAATAAAGATAAACATTACTAAATATATTCTTAATTTATTATAACTTGCTATAGTTTTGATGTTTGCAAAATTACGTACACCAAAGAATATTTAATCAAGATAATTATAAGGAAATAGCAACGTGTGACATCCATGTGAAAAATTATGCGATTTGCGTCTTCCTCACTATCTCTCTTTGCAATTTAATATACACACATACATATATGTATATAAAAAGCAATAATTTACTCCCTCAATTATTAATAATTTCTAAATATGTTATCATTATTTGTATAATATCCTAATTTTCTCTAACTTCTTATTTTTATTAGCTATTTAATTTTTATTATTTAATATGTAATCTTTGAATTTCCTAATCTTGAGAATTGTGATTTGGAATTTTTTTCTAATAATTATTACATTACTATTATTCAATTAATTAATATATCGTTAATTATCCTCTTTATTTCGACCTCATAATTTTTGTCTAATTGTTCCCTTAGACTCTGAAGATACTTTCTACTTCATTGTACTTCGTTTTTTTCTCTCTTTATGACGCGGATGTCAAGTGAAACAAGCTATGTACAGTCAGCCGTGAGGAATTAATCTCATGTGTATGAAGTTGGCATATCAATTGTCAGCATATCAAAAAAAAAGTGGAGTTCTCTTCGCATACAGCCGAGTTCTATAGTTCCTGATAAATTTTAACAATAGGACATGGATGGCAAACGGGCCATAACGTGGTCCACGCGACAACGATATCACCACGAGAGCGAATTTCGCTGTTAATTATCGTCTGACGGAAAAAAGGCAAATAAATTCTGCTTGTGTTGTTGCATAACGCCGAATTTTACGTAATATATAAAGACGTTTTAAATAATTCTACTGGTATTTCAAACAACTTTTCGTAAGAGAAGCATTTGCAAATGTTATAAATACAGCAGAAATCTTCATCACAAAAATTATAAAATAATAGACTAACATATATTTGAGAGAAATATAACATTTAAGAAATTTTGAAAAATCTTATAATCCCTTTATAAAATATTTAAATATTTAAAAATATTCTGCTTAAATATAATGAGTGGTATTATTTATTTTGCCTTTAACGTCTCGATAATTACTAATAAAGAACGCTTGGTAAAAACTCACCTTGACGGTCTCCTGAGGGGAGTACCTCGCAGATCGCTGGGCTGGAGCCTGGGCCTGCAGGCTCATCGCTGTACCATCACTGCGAGACACCCGATATGCTGCAACAAGAACAACAAACATTAACTATTAATATAAATTACTACAACGTAGGTTATTCCCTAATTTTTATGCAATATGTAATACTAGAAACAAAATTCACAAAGATTAAGAAATCACATGTAAAATCAAATTAATTAATCCTGTTTTCAGAAATAAATCTTCAGTATTATCACTACTATTTTAGAGACATATTTAATTATACAAAACTACAGTAGAGAAATAAATTTAAGAAATATTTTCCTGAAATAAAATATAAATAATATACGCACAATTATTTTTTTCTGTTTCATCGTTATTTCTAAGGTATTGTATAAAAAAAAAAAAACTAAACATTTATTACATAAAGATTAAATATAATGACAAAATAATTTTCACAAAAATATATTATTTTCTTGAAATAAAATAAATAACATTATTCTATTTGTTCTATTTTATTGCCATCTATTTCGAGATGCAATATTTTCGATTAGTAAATAGTTTTTCGAAGAGTTTTCGCGATTGTTTCAGGATGCCGACATCTCGGAACGAGAATCGCGTGTAGTGACGAGAAGCAGCGGGATGGTGGCCTCCTGGTTGGCTGCTGGTTGGCCTGTCAATACGAAGAGGTACGTGACCCAGGTACCAAATGACATATCCGGTCGAAGGGAGGACAACGGTGGTTCTCTACTTTTCCCGTTCCTTCCACCCTTCGATCTCTCTTTCAAGATCCACCTCGTTTCCCGCCGACATTTTTCCCAGGAAACGCGTATGTACGCGAGCCGCTAAAGCTATTTTCCTCGTTGGCTTTCGAGCAATAATTTTATCCTCTTTCATCAACAAATCAATACGAGTTATTATATTTACAATCCAGAAAAATTGAGAAAACGAATGTAAGAAAGCTATTATTATTATGCATTATTATATGTGTGCGTAAAACAAATATTTTTAAAAATTTGGAAAAAATAATTATGCAAACTTCTCTCTCTAAATTTAATTTTAATTTTATTTCTAATTAATTAAAAAACATGTAAAACAATAAACTTATAAAGTAAGAAAGCTTTCCTAAATCAAAATTTAATTAGAATAAATAAAAAAGTATATATGCAAATAAAAAGACATTAGATCGTGGATAAAAAAATCATTAAATAATACATATGTATATATAGCTCTTTTTAATTATAGTTTTTTTTTCTTTTTATTGTAAAATACAGCGTAGTTTTTTTTAAATTTAATCTTGTGAATTTCATGAGTAAGTTCCTGATATTATCGTAAAACGAAAATCAGAGAAAAGAAAAAAAATTGAGGAGACCGAGAGGGAAAAGTCGACAGGAGGTGGGAGGAAAGCTAATCGGGCGAAAAGCATGATTAATCACGGTAAATTCATCGTGATTAACGATGCACGCGAATTGTCCCTGCTGGCTGCGAGCATAAACACCGTTAATGCGCGACAAATGGACATACGGTACTCACGTATAGTCTCGAATCATCCACGATTACGATTGTTCTCGCATCCGTTCGCTATTATTACGATCGATATAATATTCTACGACCCTCAAACTTCAATGCGCAATTGGAAATTTGTTGAATTTCAATTTTCATTTTAATAAAACAATCCTGTTGTTTAAAAATACATATTTTTATTCTGTAATTAAATTTATATTTAGAGAAATATCTTTATTTTTGTAAAATAGTTTTCTTATATTTTATTAGTCGAAAATCTTATTATAATTTTAAATCAGAAACGAAAGAGATTCTTTAAATTTGGCGTAAAATAAATATTTATTAATACAACGGAGATATAAAGTATTTTTGAAATTTTCAAATAAACTAAGAATTATTAATTGTCTCGAACCATCGTTAACTATGCTAATCGTGCAGATATTATTTTAGAAAATAAAAATACGGTCTCTCAAACAATTCTGTTTCACTTGAAAAGCGTGCTCATTTTCACCTGATACTCACGAAAGTTTATATTGGTTTTTTATTAAATCTGTGTAATCCGCGAAAGACAATAATATAAAATAGATGCTAATAACTGATCACACAATATGTTATTAATTCATTTATATATAATACATATATGGCGATATAATATGACGGTTTTCTAGAGGAGACGGGAAGTGCATTAAAATACGAGAGCGCCGAGTATCATAAGAATTTAACGGCGTCGAGGCTCATTAAATAGCACAAATAGGCATCCCGTATATCGTGACCAATTGATACTTTCTCTCTATGGCATTACAAATACGTTTGGCTGAGCATTAACGACTTTACGTTACTCTCTCACCGTTATACCTTGATTCTCCTCCTACCATTCCTCTTCTCTATCATATTCGATTAGTCATATATATAGAAGATCTCTCTCTCTCTCTCTCTCTCTCTCTCTGTTTCTCTTTCTTTCTCATACACACACAAACATTCTATTGTGTTGTACTCTCATTCTAATTACTTATTTATTTTTATAATCTTTTTTAAATGAAGAAACATTTAACGTATATAATAAAAGAACGTACAATATGAGTTATATAAATTATTAAGTAATTATAAAATTTATTAGTTTTGTAATATTTATTCCAATCAAAATTCTCTATTTGATAAAAAATAATTATAATTATGTATTTCAATCATATTTAAAAATTATAAAAATATGTGAATTATCTTTTCTTCCAATATATTTAAATTTTTTCATATGAGATATATAGAACACTCAAGAAAAATTTCCTTCTCTTTCACGTACAAGCATTAATTATGATAAGGGAATAAAAGGCAATCAAGAGCCAGCGCGGTAATTTGTGCGCTTATATTTTATTACAATACAAATTAATTATGAAATTTACACAATGTCGTATTTAAGGCTAGTGAAAATAATCATACTTAAAAAAGGGACATCTTCATATTTTTATTCCCAAAATTCGGTCCCATATTTTTCTCTTTAACAAATTAGTAAATTTAGTAAATTATGTTTCATCGAAATCTCTTCCGTATTTAATTCTCTAAAAGTTTCTTATCATCTCCGACGTCTTATCATCTCCAGACAGGGCCATTTCCCTTTCGTGCTAATTATTCTTTGTCTATCGTTGGTCGATGTAATCATGCATCTAATTAGCAATGTTGCTAAAGGAAAGAGAAAGAGAGAGAGAAAGAGGAAGAGAGAATTGGGAATAGGATTTGTCGCGACCCTCCAACGATGTATCAGTACGACTTGCTCCTCTGGTACGCATTCGCTTGCCTTGTGACAGTGATCGAAAGCCATGATGTTATCTTCGCAGCTCGATAACGACCACCGGAAGTATCGCTTTAATCACTATATCCGACCAGTTCCCTCCAGTTTCGTTTCCCATTCTCGCGGAATCGAAAATATCAGTTATACGAATTATCGTTTTCGCACAATACTTGAATTTTGTTAATAAAATTGTTATGATACTTTTTAAATAATTTGTTAGTTGTAATTTTTTTAAATAAACAACATGCTTAAATAAAACAACTATAATTGTTAAAATAACTATATCGCGTTATAATAACATATATACAAATATTGTAATACATAAAATTTTACAGAAAAAATATAATATATTAAAACGCATCAATAAAAAAACTTGTTTTAATAATTATTTTAACAAATTTTGTAGATACAAATTTCCACTTGTTCCGTGACTTAATGAACATTGAAATGGACAAATCGCGGAAATTGAGAACTTTATATCGATAATTCACTCTTAATATGCGGAAAATCAACATTGCTCTGTTCTACATAATAAAATATCTACCAATAAATAATTAAATATATCTTCCTCGACCGACATCCTTGAATGTGTTTGCGAAATAAAGTGCCATGTGTCGAAAGAGAAAAAGAGAGAAAAAAAGAGAGAGAAAAAGAGAGAGAGAGAGAGAGAAGAGAAAGAGAAGAGAAAGAGAAGAGAAAGAGAGACAAAGTGGGAGGGGGAATACCAATGTGTCTCTCTCCCTCTCTTTCTCTCTCTTTAATCAGTCTTGTGCATCTGATATCGATTTTCACAAACTTAAATAACGCCATATGCTCACTGCACAATTTGTGGTTTTCCAACCTCAATTATCTCATTTAAATAATTTCGAACAATTGTTAAAAAATCGCCCCGAAAGGAGGCAAACTTATAGAAACAAAATTTTCTATAAAATCATTCACAAACTATGGCACGTTAATAAAAAGAGGCACAAAGATAAAGCGTTCTCTCCTCTTTCTGCTTCTTTAAGACGTAATGCAAAACGCGCGTTAATTTTGCCAGCCTAAATAAAGCGGAGAGAACTGCAGGGAGGGAAATGAGAAGAAGGAAAGGGAAGAGGAGGAAGAGAAGGCGGAGGAGGCACCATAAGGTCTGGAGGGCCCCTTATGCTATCGATCTGTCCCTACCTCAGCGGCGATAGTACGCATCGTGGCACACCGTGTGCTCTCTACCCCATGAAACTCCATATTGTCCGCACTCGTTCGCGCGTATATAAATATCGAGGTGTATGTCGTACTTGCGTTCAAGGTGTGTATAGACACGTTTATGTTAGAACTTTTAAACAGTATTTCGAAACTTCAATTCTAACAGCTAAGTATTAATTTCCATGTGTGATATTAAAAAGAATATCAAAGTGTCAATGCTTCGTTTCTGATAAGGTAAGTAATAAATTTTCCAAAATTAAACAATATTTTAATTTTTTTCTACAACGTTTTAAACTAGCAAGTTTATTTAATTTTATTTTTATTTCCCAAAAGCTATTTTTTCAGAAATTTTTATGATATATTATTTTACATTCTTTTCCAAAACTCAAATTTTTCAACATATTTAAAGAAATTAAATAAAGATTATCTAAAAATTTTTTTAATAATTTGTTATCTATAAGTTTTTGTCTTTTATAACTGTACAACTCTCAAATTAAATAGTCAAAAAAACCTGCTGTTTCTATTTTTAAATATATAAATTTTTCTTCAGGTACTTCTTTTCTCATAATTTTGTTTTATATAAAATATTTTAATTCATATATATGTATATATGTA